CACACACACATTGTAAAGACAGTCTGATTAATAATAAACTATAACAGATGCTGTGTGTTTACACAGAGCCACCTTGTCCCATTCCCAGCCCACGCTCCACTGGCCAAATTAAGTTTCATCCTCAAAACCAGGGCTCGAGTCCCTTTTCACTCAGTGATGGTGGAAGCTTAACTCATCTTGATTACTTAGCACTGTCAACAAAATTTCCACAAAGTCTCTGCAGAGCCCAGGCTTGATAGAAGGGCATGTGATATAAGTTTCACTCAAATTTGCCCTCGCTTATCAACTTCAAAAGATCAATTTAAACTAACTTGTTTATTTTCTTCATGCACACCACAATGTAAGTTACGTTTCATTAAAAGTAATAAATATTCCCTGCAATACATGTCCTAATTAAGGTGCACACACCTACAATTGTACAAACAAGTTGGTTGCTGATGGGCCAAGTGAAGCTGGGATTTTATTTAGACTGCTTTTCTAAATGTATTGATTATGTTAAAGGGAAGTCTTGTCAACAAATGTGCAATAAAGCGGGAAGAAAAAGGAAAAAAATGCAATCAGCAATAAAATACTGGAGCCCTCAGAACATTAGTACTGTAAGCTTAGCGTGAAACTGATTTTCAATTATGATTCCTGAGTTTTGTGTCATGTTAAAACATGCACAGAACTAAACTAAAAAGACATTCTTCAAGTAGCATAATAAGAATACAATAACATTTGACTGACAGTTGATCCACAATAATCCTGAATTGCTTCCCAACACATGTGGCACTTCAGACTGAATCTGGCTTGGAGAGTTGGTCCCAAAGTGTCACACAGCTTAATATTATCTGACCCCTGTGTTATGAGATCTTTTTTTTTTCCCCCATTCAGGAACCATCTTTTCCTCTCCTCCACCATTTTTTCCAATCCTCATATCAAACTCACTTTTTTTGCCCCGTCTGATCTTTTTTGTTTTCTCCTTCCCTGATCTTATTGACCGTTATGAGAACTGACGGCCCATCAGGCCCTGGCAATTCTATTACCAGGAGCCTTTTGAAAGCAAATTTACTTTCACAGCTTTGACACACAAACCATTCACAGGTAGGAGGCAAACATGTGTGCTCTCAGACCTGTAATGTGTTTCTGTGAAAAGAGATACACAGACGTGGACTCGCGTAGACAGCCAAAGACTGCACACTCAGCAAGCCAGTTTGCACCGAGAAGTAAAGAAGGAAACGTGCAATTGCAGACTGCTGCCAAGCTCTTTCTGTATTCTGTTTGTACTCAATAAACTACACCTCAGCATATGTTGGTCGTCGCGCCCCAGGCAGAGGGAGGAGTGTCTTAGGGACGCCACTGCAGAGAGCCTAGTTGCCAACCCACTGCGCCAACCCTGATGACATTGTTGCTATGCACTATTCACAAGGGTGGCTGGTCCTACTGTGAGTGACTCAGCTATTCAAGTTAAATATGTCACAAAAACGTGGTAAGCATGGGTCATACCGTCTCAAGTTCTTTCAGTAGAATGTGATAAATGGTTGGGTATGGAAGGCAGTTTGTCATTGAGGAAATCAAAGGAGATAATATGAACATTAGACACCACCTTTCTTTAGAAATCCTAAATCTACAACAGAAATAGACCCCTAAACCATACCCATCCTGAAACCTGGTCTTCATAAACGTGCCTTTGTATTACAAAACCTCACACAGCTAGGGCACTTTGCGACTCCTCAGACAAACAGACAAAGGCTCATTTTACTTTGTGACGACCATACAAGCTTGCCAGGTCTTTCATTTGGGAGTAATCTTAGGGATACAGAGAAACCAAAATTCTACAAACACCTCTTTGGGACATGCCGGAGGGATTACGTTTCTCAGATAGCCTGGGAAACGTAGTTCCCCTGGAGCAACTGCCCCCCTGGCTGGAGGGAAGTGCAGGCCCCTCCGCGTAGCCTGCTGCCCCTCCGGCCCACTCAGTAGAAGATAAAAGATGGAAGGATGGATGGATCTTCTTAATTTGGTCATACCTGGTATTTTGGGTATCCGAGAAGCTCTGCAGCATTTGCACCTTTTATTCCAAATTGTCCTGAAAATGTGATCATTGAAACTTAAACTTTAAAAGTTAATCACAGAGAGGAAATAATAAATTGAGTCAAAAGAATAATGGATTAAATGGATTTAATCTTTAGCTTATAGCTGCTGAACTATGTTCATATTGGTCTTTGAATTGGCATATTATGACAAATTTTGCCGCCTAGTCATGCAGAAAGGTATTGAAGTGTTTCAGTGACGTCTGAAGGACAGTGTTGGCAAAGACAAAAAATTGAGGTAAAATTACTGTATCTGTATCTTGAGAGGTGCAGCTTAAGCTTCGGTGTTTCAAAAATGTTCAAATAACCTGGTCTACATGTCAAGGAAGCCGACACTTTCTTAGAGTTTACCTAAAGCCATTCTGTATATTATATTTGGGCTTTACTACACAAGTTCAACCTTAATGAGTTCAGTTCATATACAAAAGGGATATTACATTTTCATGACTTTATAAAAATAGATCATAACATAAAGTTTCTGTAAGCATATTGATTTGTCATTGAATAGCATTTGGCTGCATATTTACATCTATTTAAATTTGTACATTTTTATTTGCTCACATAAATGATATTTTTGTCCTGCCAAATTCATGAGTAAGCAGCTCTCATTTACATGCCTGGCTCCTTTAGTTATTATGGAAGAAAATAAGCGCAATATATTTTTTTTTAGAAAATCTGTTCATTTGCACCACATTATTAGTTGCAACCATTTTCAAATGAATGTTGAGGTTTAAGTGCCTTTTAAACAGCAGCTTTCCTGCAATGTCTTGCATCGTCACCTCAACTGTGCTGAATGGAAAAAATTAAATCTAAAGCAGAAATAATAACAGTGTAATTGAAAATATTATGCTGAAAAGAACATTAGAGATTGTTGAAAAGTAAAGAACAATTCCCACTTTTACAAAGTATAATTTTTTTCAGCACATGTTTTACATGCAGTTTGCAAATGATGTGCATACAGACTAGCACTCCAACCGAGCAAACTGCAGTGCGCTAGATCCTGCAGTGTGCAACCACCTAGTGAGCTAGGTGGTTCCACCAAAGCAATACCTCTACAGGTGGAATATCTAAAATTTCTGAGGAGTTTTTTTTATTTCTAGTGGTTTACTAGAAAAACTGTTTAGATTGTAACTACCAACTTTGAAGGCATGGTTTTGAAAAGCTGACATCGGTCATTTTGTGTTGGCCTGCTAAAGCATTTTATGTTGCTTATGGCCTCTGCAGAGGTCAGTGTTTTGCATCAAGTTCAGAGTTGATGCCACATTCATCACTGAGGGTTACTTCCGATTTTCAGAACTGCAACATTTTATTTTGTTGTCATTTTAGGATTATTCCCCTTTGTAAACTAAAAGTTACTCTCCATTGCTACATTGCTGGCAGCACCATGTTTAACTGCAGGATCAAATGTCTCTCCCTTCTCACCAATGGACATTGTTTCCAAATCAATCAGTCGTCCTTTCATCAGATCAGAGGGTTTCTCCTGTAGGTGCCGTGACTCATTCTGGTTACTTTAAAGCAATGCCTCAGCAGGATATCATCTGGCATTTACTGAGAAGATGCTTCAGTCTAGCCACTCTTCTACAAAGGCCTTATTGGTGCCTCCAGGCACTTAAGTCTATAGAGTATATGATGGAAAAAATTGCCACTAAAGAAACCACTAAACAGTCCCCAGCAGTCAATAAATATTGGCATCTCTTTTCTTTACATCTGAGCTTTGAAATCAAAAGATTTAACGTCAAAGTGAAATACAGCTAAAGCTTAAATTCATTTAAAAAAAGAGTGAGGAACATTGCAAAAGATGACAGCAGACTTTCAAATGTCTTGAAGGAGAAATGCGCTGAGAAATACGGTTGAAGGACAGAGGAAGGGTGAATTGGATAAATACAGAAAGAAAAAAAAAGGAGGAAAAAGGTCCTCCAGACAGCTGGCATTACGGGGTGAGGCTGAGAAAAAGTTTCAAAAAAATAGAAGTGTGTGTATGGGTCTAAGCTATGGAGAGAGAGAGAGAGAGTCAGTGACAACCACATGGGAGTTGGGGAGGGTGTGTGCAGCATGTCAATACAAATGCTAAATCACTCAAGGGCTTTCATCCAGCTGAAATTTCAGCCTTGCTTCAAAGTCAGGTGTAATGCAGAGAAAAAGGAGGGGTTGAGGTAGAGAGGAATTTAACAGATGTTTGCATTTCATTGCGCTACAACAAATACATCATGTGTAATCCACCAAATCACCTTATGATTTAGCTCATTCTGACCATTTCAAAAATATATAGCAACATCTCCCTCCGTTGCTGCCTTTATTCTGTTTCTCTCCGCACAGAGAGATCTGCGCTCAATCTACTCGTGTATAACCAGATGCGAAAGCCTCGACTATGGCTTGCCGCCTTCGGCGCAGCCTCCCTGAAGAGATACTTGGAAGCCTCGGTATTTATGAGGGTGTAATATCCTACCTGGGCTGCACTCGCAAATCCTCTCCCATCCCTGTAACGGGGTGGCCCAGGGGATGGCTGGGGCTGTCGGATGGACGGTTCTGAGACTGCAACACGACAACTGAGCAACATGATATGACAGGGCAGAGACAGGGGAGAGGAGGAAGGGAAAGCCTGAAGAGTAGAGACCCCTGCTTCAAAATACAACCTCTGTGGGAGGATAAGCTGCAAAGATTTAAATGGATGTCTATTTGGAAATATTTCATAATTAGGTATGTTTTTCTTGACATTCTTTCAATTACATCTACTTATGTTTTTGCTCCTGTTAGCAGAAGATGGTATATCTTAGCTGTGATCGATGAGGTTTAATTATATAAATGCAATAGTGTACAGGGTCAAAGGCCACATCCTCAAATTACAGAATGATGCAGTGTTTTCATAATACTACTTTCAACAAGTCTCTATTAACCCATCAATGAAAGACGACATAAATTCAAGGATACATTCGTACACCACCTGATCTTGAACCAATGGCCAGGATCTTCTGCACGGGGTCAAAGGCCAAAGATGTGGGTTGGTACGGGAATCCATGCCGAACCGTCTGCAAGAAAAACAGTAACGGAAAATATCAATACAAATAATATCTATTTTACTTTTCATGTTTAGTAATTCAAAGGTTATTTTGCAAAGAAAATATTTTACTCTGCAGCTAAAAAACTGCAAGGAAGACACTAAAGTTTCCTTGTTCCTTTATTGCTCCTGTAGGGATTACATCAACACACGAGGGGAGAAGAATCCCACAAGATGTAGCACATCATTTTAACTTCATAATGTCAAGAACAATTGATAGTATTAGACATAAAAAAAGGAAATGTTCTACCTGTGACATTTTTGCTTTGTTATTATTGCATCTGGCTGCTACTTTTGTAATGTTTATTGAAAAGCTGCAACTTGCAGTCGAGAAAAAGCATTAATCTAAGAATCTACTGTCTTTGATTTATCTGAGATCAGGTTACAGCAATAATGAGTCCAAGAGGGAAAACCCAAACATCTTTCATACTTATAGTTCCTGAAACAAGTGTTTTGGTCTAAGCAGGTAACCATTGAATTAAAGCACCTGGAGGGATCCTAATCGTATGTCTGAACCGCCTCTACGCTCTTCTCCAGGTGGAGAAGCAGCAGCTCTGCTTTGAGCTTCCCCTAGATAGACACACTCTTTCCCAAGACTGAACCCAGTCGTCCTGCAGTGGATGCTCATTTAATCCATGCTTGAATATAGACAGAAAGGGAAATCGAGAGCTTGGTTTTTCAGCTCAGCTGTTTCTTTACTACAATGCCCCACAGCAGGATTCACATCACTGTCAAAATTGCCCAAATCCATCTGTCCTTGACTGACCTCTTCCTACTATTATTCATGAATGAGACGTTAAGTCAAAGAAAAACAGAATTTGTCAAAGACTTACATTTTACAGTTCTCCTTTTTCCAAACAACAACCAAATTGCTTCATACTCGGCTCCAAAACCACTCCAGTGCGCGTACCGTCATGATTTGAAGTTGCCAATAGAACCACATCAGCCACAAACCCAAATATAAAACTTTCCTGTTCACCAACCAGTCACCTTCCTTTCCACAAACAAGATTAACGACCAGAAGCAGCCCTGACAGAGTACCACTCAATTCTGAAACAAGGTTATTTGCAGAGAATGCAGACAGCAGAATGAGGAAAAAGTCATCATCTTCTGTAATATGTTATGTCTATTATTCTCTTTTGCCAAAACAAAACAGCATAGCTTTGAGGAAAAAATTAGATTAACTAAAGCAGAAATAAAAAAGGTTTATATTTTGAACTCCATTAATCTGGAGCCTGTATCATTGTACTGAGATGCAAGGGAATCATTTCTTGAGAACCTATCGATAAACTTTACCTTCTGTTCACAATGCATCTGGATTCTGACATGGAGTTAATTGAATTAGCTTCAGCTGTCTCATTCCAGAGGCTGACAAGGCAAAACAAGGCTGTCTCTCAAGGCCCACTTTGAAAGGCCCTGAATGCTCTGCAGCTGTCTGCCATTAGTCATGTTAAATATCCCAGCGGACTGTCACTTGCAATAAACCTGCTCTGAGGGGATGTACATGAGAAACACGGCCATGATGGCTGCTGAATAAAAGCCCACTGCAGAATGAAGGAATGTCCTAATAAGATGCTATATATATATAAAAAATACATCCTATGCAGAGCTGCTAAATCAATGGTGTGATACAAACAACCCACGGAAGGAGTGACCAGTCCTCTTTATACAAGCAAACTCAATTAAAAAAGGTAATGCACTGAATAATTCTAATATTTTAATTGGACTTTGTGGTAAACACCACAATACAGGGACACATAATACCAGGGTAATATGGCAGAGCCCATTTTTCAGCTGTCTTCTCAATGACTCAATGCTTACTAGTTTGTAAACTCACCCTGTGCTGTTTTTTCTTCTTCCTTACAAGCAGAAGTTCAGTTAAAGTCCCTCACTGACCATTTAAGGCTTCACTGTCATTCTTGCACAATGTAATGTCTGTTTGATCCAAAGTGCAGCACAGGACATCTGACAGAGAGCTCTTAGCATAATTAGCAGGAGGGAATATGGAGCCTAGACAAGCATATCAAATTTAAAACTACAGTCAGTGCTCACCATTAGCTACACCTTGCTGGGCCCCTTGTTTGCTTTCATAACTGCAATAATACTTCATGGCATACATTCAGCAAGATGTCAGAAACACTTTGTGAAGATTTTATGTTCGCAAATCCCAATTGTGATCTATTGGATTGAGATCAGGTGACTGATCTGATTCTGATGGTCAGCTTAATCTTCAGCTGAAGTCCAGAAGATGGCAAAATGTTAAATATGATGCTTTGTTGCCATTTGTGTTAAGAATTTGATAGGGTGTAGGCAATAATGGGGCTATTGAGTTTATGTTCGACTGAGAAACATTTCAACTTATCCACTTGGATGAAGTTGAGTATCTTAAGAACATAATTCCATAAAACTAAATGATGGTAGTCATCTCATGCTCATTGTGGACTGTTATCAGGCAATGCTCACACACTGAAACATATGGGATCAGAAAAATATAAAGGTCACTTGGTCTGTATCTTCTCTTTTAAATCATTCAATTTGATTGTTCACTACATAGCCCCTTTCCTCAGTACTACATCCTATAAGCGAGGTGGAGGTGTGTAATTCATCTTTGTTATAGATCTGTGTCTCTCTTTGCCAGCTACCATTTATTCACCCATTCACCACCTCAGCCCCTCCATCTCTGGTGTGTCCTCACTATGAATCCCACTCCATCTTCAGGAGTCATGAGCGAGAAGCTCTCACTCCCTGGGCACTCAGTGCTGCTCTCAGTCGCTTCTTGCACTCTTGTGAGTCTCATTAAGCTTTTCTTGTGTAGGCGTGAGCATGCAGCACCACTATTCAAGACAGGGACACATGAAGCCTGCCCTTACATGCCTCACTGCTTTTCACTGGCCAGGGTCAATAATGGAAGCAGTTTCTGTCATAAGTTCCACATTCAGTGAGTGGAGTACCAAATATTTCTGTTAATGAATTCAGAGCTCATGTAACAGATCATTGTCATATCATAGAAATTCCCAAGCATTTGCACAAACAGGTCACCACAGCGTACGCAAGTTACTTTTATAAGGCTGGTCTTGTAAGGCCCTTGTTGTTAAATTGGTTTAAAATATAAGTAGAAACCAGAATGTACATGCAGATGCGCAAATGAAGTATAATTGAAAAGTAAATGAACTACTCTCGTCTACAACAAGAAAAAGACGGAATAAAATGTTTCTTTTAACTATAAATGTGACATTTCAGTTTGAGTTCTGCAGCATGAGAAACTCCCCTGGTGTGGGTATATCTTGTAAAAAATATTCACTAGGAACAAAATGTTCCCAAATATCTCTAATAACCTCTGGGCCAAGAGAGATGGAGGGTTCATGGATCAAACTGTATGAGGAGCGAGGAGCGAGGAGAGAGGAGCGAGGAGAGAGGAGCGAGGGGAGAGGAGCGAGGAGCGAGGGGAGAGGAGCGAGGAGAGAGGAGAGAGGAGCGAGGAGAGAGGAGCGAGGAGAGAGGAACGAGGAGAGAGGAGCGAGGAGAGAGGAGCGAGGGGAGAGGAGCTTGCGCCACTGCATTATTTGGGTTGCACATAATGTCTCACCATCCAAAATACCATCAATCATTCAAAAACTCTGCAATAAAAACCAAGAACACAGCATGAACAGAAAAAGGTCTGTTCCTGCTGCAGTAAAACCTGCAGACTGTTTTTAATCAACAATTTTGAATGGCTAGTAAAATGTTAAACTAATCACCATCATTAAAATCCCAAGCCAATCTGGAATAACACTGTACACAGCCAGCCTTCCCAAGCACCCAATCACCAGCACAAAACATATTTCTTTGACCACCTTGATTGTACAGAGTCTGATGTTGTTGCTCTCATTAATGCTGGAGAGGCATGCGTTAGTAAACCTGCTGTAAAATCGCACAGAGGAGGAGGTGGTCGTGCTAAACACGGCAGTGTGAGAAACGAGACAGACGCAGTCTCATTCCCACCGCACTGCATATGTATGTGCACATGGTTTGCACATGCAGAGATACAGAAAAAAAAGAGACATAGCTGCACCCTTAAGACACCCTTCCGATTGCAATGGCTTTTCCTTAATGTGTTATCTGGCAGAGCTTTTTGCATGTTTGTTTAGCCCACTTGCTTAGATAAACAGTGTTTCCGAAACATAGACTCAGTTGGCATATTTAATAATCTCTCTCTATTTGCAGCCTTTCTTTCGCTTATGTTTCGGGCCAATACAAATTTTGACATCACTGGTTTCTGTCTGAAATCATTTTGGTTCAAAACTGTGGTTATTTTAGAGGTAGAAATGATTGAGAATGTTGAATCTGTCAGTGTAGAAAGCATCACTATATCACTGACCAGTAGGAATATAATGCTAGATGTACCGAACTGTCAGACAAAAGCAGTCAGATGTTGAATGTGTCAGCCTCAGATGATCAGTGCTCTGATCCAGAAGGGTACACACACACGTGCTTTCATATCCAGAGGAAAAAATGAGACAAAGCCTCCACACCAAACCGGTAAAGGAATGGCTGGTCATGTTGGCATGCCGAAGCTTTAAAATCACCTGTTTGCTTTAAATCAGCATTCTGTAATTGTTACATGCTTTTAGTAACACAGCCGTAGGCCTATGTTACTATGGGTTAGCATAATGCATATTATATGTTAAAGTGACATGAGTCTAATTGATGTTTGAATATACATCTGACTATATATGAAATGTCAAACTAGACCCTGAAAAATGGACACCAGCCACAAAATTAACCAACAACCAGGTAAAAAAAAAAAAAAACACTGAACACTTTATTTATTTAGGGAGGCAAAGCCTTAGTGAAGTTATTCAGTTCTGTCCATAATGTTGAGGCCAATTTAGCTAAAACAAACAATGTAATTAGAACTTCCAAATATAAAGTATATAGCAAAACTGTACAATTTGAATCAGAATCTAGTGACATCACAATGAACTGTATATC